CACCTCGGCCAATGCCAGTATTATTTTGAAAAGTTCAATTCCACCGCGTGATGAATAATTCTCTCCCAGAACATGAATCGAGCCGGCACCCGCGTAAAATATCAATTTAATAACAATCATGACTATTATTTAAATAATCATTTAACAAATAAACCAAACGTGAGTTTTAAACATGAATTTGAGCCGAGCTTCAGGCTCGTGTGCTCCAAATTGGGGACCTCGGGCGTCCTCAGGCCCGTCGGCCGCTCACTTGAGCCCCGTAACTTTTTAAATTAATTTAATTAAATAAATTAATTATTTAAACTTAATGATTAAATTTGTTTCTTTATACTTCTAGTCGCCGGCGATCACCTTGATCGCGTTTTGGGCTGAAATAAAATATAAATAAATAATACAAACTTAAAACTAAATTTTATTTTCTAATAAGTTTTAATTTATTCGCCCAGGAGGTGCCGCCATCTGGCGGAGCCTCCGACACCAGTGTGCTCAAGCCCGGCGGGAAATGCCACAGCGTGTAAACACTGTGATACTGTTCTTCACTGTACTCCCCAAGATTCTCAGGAAAGTGGTCGATGTGAGAATCTAGGAAATGTAATTTTAGATTCATCAAGCATCCTAAATTTTTGTAATTTGTCACTAATTCTTCGACTATTGTCCTGTTATTTTCACTTTTAATATTTCCTAAACAGTTATGACACACATTTTTGAAACTTACCCAAGCTACTCTCTCCGTATCATTCATTTTACCTATAAAATTAGCATCCTGAAATAAAGTTCTAATTTGGGGTCCATTAAAAATTCCTTCTTTTAATTTGGCATCACTTATAACCGGAAACTTTTCTCTCAAGTACTGAAAACAATCACCATCCTTGTCCAGAGCTTTGACATATTGTTTTATGAGACCTAGTTTGATGTGAAGTGGCGGTAGCAGATAGTTTGAAGGCTAAATGAATGGTGTTCGTATTACATTATGAGTACCGACATTTAATTGCACTCTCGTAGGTTATTCTTTTTTCACATAGTGATTCTTTCTGTCTCTGCTATCCGACAAACATAGATAGCAAGGATATTTTGTGAATCCTGATTGTTGGCTTAAAAGAAGTGTTACGATTTTGAGATCCCCGCAAATTTGTCATTGGTGTTCTGAATACTTTATCTTATCCAATACAAATCCCAAATTTTTATAAGTCTCTTTAAGCTTCGTCGAATGGGCTGTTAGAATTGGCGCTAATATGTTTTCAATGTGAAGCAAGACAGCTTTGAGACTTCTAGTTGATGAATCTATAAAGAGTCTCCACTCATCGTCTTTATAGACATTAGGTTTTAATTCATCAACCAAGTCTTTAACATTGGAACAGTACACCACCGAGTTCTCATCGTTCTTTGTGAAAAACTTCCGGAACTCTTCTTCTCTATTCCGATAAAAGTAAGCCGTTACCTTTTTAGCTAACAAATTTTTATTTTTTAGTCTTGATGCCAGTAATTCAGCTCCATCCTTAGGCAAATTTAAATCTCGTATGAGATCATTTAGTTCTTCTCGACTAAATGTTTCGGGATCTTTCGTTTTCCCATCTGGCATGAAATCTTCATCTTCGGGATTTTCATCTTCAGAAATTTCTTCTTCCTCTTCTTCCTCCATTGGCACTTCTTTTTTTTCTACCGCCGTCTCTTCAAGAGCTTCGGTTTCATCAACAATAACTGTTTTCTGTGGCTTAACAGCTGATGAAACATTGGCGTACTGTATTTTACTTCTATTCAACGAATTCAAACCGGCAATTTCAGTTATACAGAAGTAACAGTTATGCGAAGTAGTTAGTGAAGTCCAGATCATGGGAATTGTAAATTTCAAGTTTTCTCTGTTTTTGGTTTTTTCCCATCATGTCAACATAATATTACATCGACCACAAACAAAGTGTGGGACCCAGGCTGAATCCAAATTTGTAATTTGAATGCAAAAGCATTCTTCATAATTTCGTTCTAATCTATCTGAAAACGTTCTGCGGTTTTTTACCGGCTAAAACTCCCCACAAACGTAACAAAATAGATCAGGACTCTTATTGCATAGATGGGAATTGCTTCTTGTCATAGTATACTCTCCAGTAACCAAGTTTCCCACTACTGAAGAGCTGCAGTCGCTGGATGACGACGCCTGCGGGCCCTCTTTTTCATCCTGACCAGACGCCGATACTGGGTTTCCGAATCCCTGAATCGTAAAGTACTCATCACTTGTACCTGCCATGACGGCACACACACCGTTAACCCAGGGACTTTGCCAGATAGTTCTGTTGCCCACTGTCACCCTGAGGAGGTACCTTGGTTGCACGTACAAGCGATCATGCAATGAAATGAAGTCTGCACATCGAAGAAGTTGAAATTCCAACACGATGGCAAATTTTTACTAAATAAAGGAAAAGGTGGAAGAAGAAGTATCCACGTCGTAGATCATTTGAGAATGAAACAGTACAATACCCTCAAAAAACCGTTAAAAATTCAATTTGTGTACATTCTTGGATCTCAATCTTGTATTTTAGAAATAAAAAATACAAGAAATTTATTTAATTGTGTTTAAAAGATTTTTGTTCATTTTTTCGGCAGCAATTTTCTGCTATGTTATCGGTTTTTTGCAGTTTTATCAATGTTTGAGGGGACTATGGGCCATATTTATTACAGAATCAGATCAAGAAGATTAAATTACATAAAAATCTTCGCTAATCCGGGTCCACAAAATTTTTTGTACCAAGATAATCCCAATTTTTCACGATTTTTGCAATTTTTAAGGATATTTTACCATTTTTTTAGAATTAAAAGAGCTTATGATCAAAGTAAGATTGAAATTAGTATTAAAGAGATCAAAATACATGAAAATTATGCTTGCCTTAGATCTCAAAATTTTTTGTCTTGCCAAAACATCGAATTTTTGCTGTTTGGGGTTTTTTACAATTTACTCGAAATTGAAGGCTGGACGGCCTAAACTGACATGAAATTCGTTTTCAGCGGGTCGACAAACATGCCCGTAGAAAGGTGGCGCCCGGTGTACAGACAACTTTTTTTTTGTGTGTCGGTGTAATTAATACAACGATAAACTACAAAAAATGAACTAAAAACCAAATTAATCAATCAGGGCACCACCAGGTTTATTATCACGGTTCCTGGAACCGGTCCAGAGCAGAGAGCTTATCGTCTAGGGTCAGAGAGAGTGGAGGAAGGTGCTGTTGAAATAATAAATAATTAACTAACAATATGGCCAATATCTACAATAATGGAAAAAAGGCCATTCGGCAGCCGAAATGGAAGTAGATTTCATAATGAATACCCTAGTGGTTTCGACGACTCAGCGTAAACTCGGAGTTTACGCGGAGTTACTATGAAATATACGCCCTCTCGGAGTTTAATCGGGGTATAAGCGGAGTTTACGCGGAGTTTTAGAGGTGTATGCAAGGAGTATCGTGTGCAGTTACGACACGGAGTCACAAAAGTGTATTATTAGAGTTTTCGAGAAGTTTTCGACGAGTTTTTTCAGGGTCTTTATGGAGTTTACCTCGCGTTTTTGTTGGATATTTTCGGAGTTACAGTGGAGTTTTTTTGGCGTTTTCGTCGAGTTTTTGTTGAGTATTTTTAGTGTAGCTAGGGAGTTTTTGTCGAGTTTTTTTCGATGTTTTGCGGAGCTTTATCAGAGTTTCGGTGGTGTTTTTTCGGAGTTTTGGTAGTGTTCTTATGGAGTTTACTCGCGATTAATAATACTTCATGGCATGAAAATTAAATTTGATTTCACAAAGATGACTATAAATAAATCATTTTTCAATTACGGTGTAGTTTTTATTAATTTATTTATTTATTTACAAGTTTAAATATATTTATCTACATAGAATATATTATTCAATAAATATATTGTAACAGGGTAAATTAGCCTTAATCGATAAGTCGCCAGAGATCGATAACTTTTTCGACTAGCATTTTGGCGCATCGATCTTCGGGCCTAGAGAGAGAGTAGGAGGGGGTATTTTGGGGAGTCATTAAATAGGCGAGCCATGCGTTCTGTCAGCAGAAGTAGTGTAGTGCTGAAACGAGAACATTGAGGAGTCCAAGAAGGAAGCCATTAGCAACCAAAGAGTTTCTTCAAACCAATTTACACCAGGTATTGGACTTTGGTAGTGATGAGCCTGGGGGTTTACACCCGGCTCAATGTCTATACTACTTCTCATTTCTAAATTAATTAATGGTTATTCAGTTTGTTTTGTAATAATAATTAATTGTTTTAATCAATTTTAATAATAATTAATTGTTTTAATCAATTGTAATAATAATGAATTGTTTTAATCAATTTAATTTGTTAGCTTTGAGAACAATTCCTCCTGGGGATTTTACTATAGTTCGATAAAATTTTTCTTCCAAACTTAAAATATCATTTAAGAGGGCAAATCATGCATGAACAGTTCTTGTCAGCTGATATATGGAGTTTTAATCCTTTTCTATTAGGCTAGAACAGACATGATCAGACATGGACAGGTCTGATCAGGTCTGAGCGTATTTAACGCTTCAGGCATGAACAGGCTTGATCAGATCTGATCAGGTCTGAGCGTATTTAATGCTTCAGACATGAGCAGGCATGAACAGGCTTGATCAGGTCTGATCAGGTCTGAGCGTATTTATTTATTTATTTTATTTAATTATTTATCAAATTTTGATCCTAGAGCAAGTGCTCCCTAAGGACCATATCAATCAAGTACATAATGAGTACATATAAGGTTAATATATTAGATATAATGTAATTATATAAATGTAGCATTAACATAATATTAGATACAATATAATAATATAAATGTAGCATTAATATAATATTAATCATAACATAAATGTAATATTAATTGATAGAATATAATAGTGAATTATAAAACATAATGATGAGTAATAAGATAGCAAAACATAGTAAGTGATAATTTATAATAATGATAAAATTGTTATTTTTGTCATTGACTCCTCACAACACTGTTTATATAGTTTTAAAGATCTCTATTGAAATACCAATTAAAACACGCTACTCTAAACTCAGCAAAGGTGCTTAGTGCAACAAGATCAGACGGGAGCTGATTCCAAGATCTTATAGCCGTTAACAGAAACGAACGCTCAAAGGTCACTTTACGACAACTTGACTGGTAAAATATATCATTTCTGCGCTCTGCACGATCTCTAACAGAAAGCAAAATACGGAAACCATCACGCAACAAGTTATTGTGTTGCAAATGCAACATCTTATAAATTATACAAGCTATTAAAAACTCGCGTCTACTTCGCAGTGTCAACCAACCAAGCTGCCGTCTGTAAGGTGTAATATGGTCAAATCGCGGAACACCATATATAAATCTTATGCAGGCATTAAATTTTCGCTGCAGCCTCTGTTGAAGGCTACCAGATATGTTCGTCAAAACAGCACAACCGTAGTCAAATATCGGCAAGATCAGTGCAACAACCAATCTCCTACGCATAGTAGTGTTCAACACTCTACTATTCATTTTTAACCGAGCAAGGCAACTCATTGCCTGCTGGCTAACAGACACCATTTGGCCATGCCACGACAACGTATTGTCTAGCACCAGTCCAAGATATTTGACTCGCTCAACGTATTCCAAGACAATACCGTTCATTGACACCCTCGGCGCATTAACACACACTGAATTCTTAACATCTTGCGAGCTACCGAAGATGATAGCTTTCGTCTAAGTAGCGTTAAGCCTTAGTAGATTGTTGCAACACCAAGTCACAATCACTAAGATTGTACCATTTAAGTTCTCAGCCACTCGGTCTATGTCATTTAATTTGCAGGAAGAATAAATCACCAAATCATCTGCATAAAAGAGATGTTTACAATCAATAAGGTCACCAAGCTCAGTAACAAATATTGCATAAAGCAATGGCCCAAGTACACTACCCTGCGGTACACCACACTTCACACTATTCCATGATGACAAAGCATCATCTAACTTAACCGCTTGTCTTCTTCCACTCAGGTACAAACTAAACCATTGTGAAACACCAGCCGACAGATTTAGTCTTTTAAGCTTTTCTAGCAGTAGATGGTGATCTATACAATCGAACGCCTTAGTAAAGTCGAAGAACACTGCAATAGTAACTAAGTGATCATCAACTCCTGCACGCACATCATCACATAAACGAACCAAAGCCGTCTGTGTATTCATGCCTTCCCTAAAGCCAGTCTGATACGGATCCAATAAATTATTCAAAGAAATATAACTAATAAGCTGTTCATATACGCATCGCTCTAGAACCTTAGACAACGGACAGAGAATTGAAATAGGCCTGTAATCCCTGTATTGCTGTGGAGAACAAACTGTTGGAATTGGTATGACCCAAGAGTCTTTCCACTGATTTGGAAACTGCGAGGATGCCAAAGAGCCATTAATCATATTAACAATCGGTTCCAAACTGTAAGGCAGCAGAAGTTTGTAGTGCCTAATTGAGAAGCCATCTGGACCAACCACGCTAGTCGTAATACAAGACAGGTTACGCTGAACTACATTTGGTGTAACCTCTACAAACTTGAACTGATGATTATTTTCTTCAGCCCGATAACTAGAGAGTAGCTGTGCGTTATCACTCTGTACGCTTCCAACAGAAACAAAATAATCATTCAGGCCATTTATGTCAAGATTAGCTGGACAAGTTGATGTTCTTGATTTGAAGAGCCCTAGCCTCCTGAAGTCATCCCAGATAATCTTCGGGCTTCGAACTAAAGCAATCCGTTCTTGAAGAAACTTCTTTTTAGCCTCTGCAATTCTCTTCTTGACCATACGACGAACATTACAATACTCATGGTAAGCAAATCCAGTTCTTTTAAATATTCTGTAGAGCTTGTCTCTTCTCCGCTGAAGATCACGGATATAATCAGTGAACCATGGTGCTGGCGGACGAGATACTTTAATCAGACGTTCTGGCGCTATTGCATCTAAGACTCGTAGAATACCTCGATTTAAATCTGCAGCCTGATCATCAACGGAAAGATCATAATTCACTGAAACTAAGCTGCGCTTTGATAGCTGCTCCTCTATCAATTCTTGGCTCACCAGTCTCCAATTTCTGCATTTCAGGCGCTTTGAACACTGCCTTGGTGCACTTGGTGCAGCAAAATTCACGAATTCTTTAATCAAGTCATGCCCTGATAAAAATGGTACTTGAGACTGATCTGAATGGGTCACAACTGATTGATCATTAACAATGCAGTGATCAATCCACGTTTCTGATGTTGCCGTATGATGAGTCGCATTAAACGAAACCAAATCCAAGCTGTACTCATTGCAAAAATCCTTTAAACTTCTGGACTTATATGTATTATGAAGCGCATTGATGTTTAAGTCTCCAATAATTACAAGATTACTGTAAGCTGGCAGAAGATTATCAAAGACAATTTCAAAGTTCTCAAGTAAAGCAGCATGAGGAGGTCTATAAATTACACTAAATAGCACTTTTTTCTGTTCCGACGACCATAGCTCAATGATCAAAAATTCAGGCAGAGTAACTAGATCGTTATCCGATAAGGCAAAAACTTTAGATGACAGCGTATTACGCACAAACACAGCGACACCACCACCACGACGTTTCCTGTCATTACGATGCAAATGAAACGAAGGCAATCATATCTGGGCATTGAGTACATTTTCTGAAAGCCAAGTTTCAGACACAGCAATAACATCATAGTAATGAGTTCGGAAGAATTCACGATACTCATCTACATGCGGCACAAGAGACTGAGCATTAAAATGATATATTTTCAGGTCACTACAGTTGTTAGTAACTGAACATTAGGGTGATTCATTTCCGCAAAATTTTTTTTTTTTTCGGTGCTCATGAAAAATATTAATCTACATACAGAAAAAAAAATTCCTACCAAGTTTAAGCTCATAATATTAATTTTAAGTACTTACAATAAAAATTTAAAGTTTTACCATTTAGAATGCATGTAAAAAAAATTTTTTTTTTTCAAATTTCTAATGCTTAGCCGGCTTTTACAATATTGCAAATCGGTTTGATGGACCTTGTGGGGAATTTCACGCTCTTCAAAAAAGCCTTGAAGTTTTTTTGTGTAACTCGCACTGGTTCACTGGTAGGAGTCGTCAAAGTACAATTTTTGAAAAAAATATAATTTCTTTCAATTTTTCGAGCAAATCACCAATGGTAGGAAGAAAAAAAGGACTGACATAAAAAAAAGTCATCTAACCAATATTTAATGAATTTACAGCCATTTTTATAGAGGGAAACGTAAGAAATTGATAAATACTAACTCATAATATTATGTAGATTTATTTTTTCTGTTTATTACCATTAAATTTCCCTACAAATAAAAATGAGGATTATTTAATTTTTTGTAGCAAAATTCCTAAATTAGTAAAAAATTTAATTTTTCCCATAGTCAACTTTATTCACGCCAACTTTGTATAAGTAGAAATCATTCTTTGAAAAACTGCAGCAAGCAGTCCCAAGATGGCATATTCTATCATTGCTCTAATTAATTAGCATGATATTACCATCTCTATTGTCTTTGTTGAAAAATTTGACCCTTTATGGCATACCTAACCTCAAAATAATTTTCTCATTGTTTGTTGTATTAAGTGATTAATCCGAGAATCAATTGACGCTGATACTAAGACAAAATAAGCCAATTTTTTAATAAACTATATTCAATTTACTATTTTAATATCAACTTTTCGCTGTCACTTGTGTTTAATGGTATAAATCGTATTTAAATTATTTCTTGATATTCTTCAGTATTTATTTGATTATACTTCATTAACTTTCTAATCTAACTATTGTTCATTATGACTAAAGTAATTGGTAATAGGACATATAACTATTTAGTTGGCTTTCAAATTAAAGAATATAATTCTTATAAATTACTTACTTATCGTGACGTTATTAATTTATTTATGTATAAGCATTTGACATTAAATTTGACAATACGTACCAGTGCTACCGAAGCTATTGATGAACCAGAGGCTATGTGGGATAAAATTAGAATTCCTACGACACTGAAACGAAATAGTATTCGAAAATTTGAAAAGTTTTATGACGATTACAAAGACATTAAGAAACGAAAATCTCTTAAAAATCTCTCAGACAATCAAAAACACAAAGTGGAAAATAATAGTGAAGTTGAGAATCTTCCGAGTAATTTACAATTATTTTTAGAAGAATGTCGACAAAATGATAACAATAAATGTTTACCATTAATATCTAAGTTAAACGAAAATGCAATAGTACTTTCTGATCAATCAGTTTTACAAGATATACAGGATGAAATACAAGATAAAAATAACAACATTGAATTTAGTAAGTATAGAATTCTATTCCCACTGATGGTTGACTTGTGATTTCTGCATTCATAATAATGAATTAATCCTATTGTCATGTTAAATTTCACACTTTTTGGCATTCATTTTCGTGATTCTTAGTAAATTCTGTCGTCGTATCCTTAGAATATTGAAAAAAGTTAAAATTTTATTTTTGTTCATTACAATAGTAGCGTATCAATACATCTCTTTTTTAACAGATTATTATTTTCAAAATAATCTTTACTCACTATTACAATTGAAAAGACTTATGGAACGATTATTTCATAAAATAATTATTTCTTAAGAGATCGTAATCTTCTATTTTATAATTAATATGCATTAATCTTTTTGTAAATCTGAGTCAAAAATTATCGCAGTTCTCAATGTCTAATGAAAGAAGTAGCCAATCATCAAATCAATCTGAAAAACAACCTTTGTTAGATTACGAAGATGAGTTTCCACAGGCTAAAAGGAAACGTAAGGTTGATGTTATGACTGAAGTTCTAGTAGCAGTACTGGATCACACTAAAACCAGTAATCGAAGTGCAATGCATATTATTTCTGCTGTCATTACTAGTCTTGGATTAGATATTGACAATTATAATATCAGTTACACGACTATTCGCAATGCTCGATCAAAATTCAGAAAAACAGTTGCTGGGAATTTGAAAGAAGGAATACAGGAAACTGCACAAAATTTTATCGTACACTGGGACCGTAAGTTACTTCCGGAACTTTCAAATCAGCCAATGAAAAAAGTCGAAAGACTTCCTATTGTTGTTTCCGAGATGGATGTGGAACAATTACTCGGTGTACCTCCTTTAGATGAATATACTGGAGCTAATGAAGCTAAAGTTATTTTTGAAGCGTTAAATGAGTGGAATGTTACTGACAATATAGTGGGAATGTGCTTTGACACTACTAGTGTAAATACTGGTAAATTTTAACTCAATTTATATATATATATATATATATATATATATATATATATATA